AAGGAAGGAAGGATGGATGGATGAAAGGAAACTTCTTTCAGGCATTTTGACAAAAAAAAAACCCTAAAACCACAAAAGAAAGTACTACATGCTTGCATGTTTTGAAATTTAAATCTCAGAAAAAATTGTATAAAACTGTTATAGTTCAAACCTTGTTGTGCAGCGGAAATGTTTGGTAGTGACATTAACAGGTCATATTTAATATCACCAAAAGGACAGACTATTGTATACATTTTGCATGATGTTTCTGGGACCCAAGTTAAATTCCCATCCACGTGCTCAAAAATGTTGACATAAGCTGAGGAACTATGGTTTCTGTGATTCTCAGATTTCACATGTTGAAATCTAAAGTAATATTGCCCTCAGACAGCTTGAGGATCCATAAAACAGAGTTGAATTCCGCAGCATAGAAGTTTGCTACCTTGTAATTATCACAATATGCAACAGACATATTAATTAATCATTTCAAAAACAAATGTTTATAATTTGGGAATAGTTTACTGCATTACATTCTATGTCACACTATTTGTGGTGTATTTTTAAATTTAAAATCATAACAAGGATTTATTCTAGCTTGGATAAAAACTTTTTTATTACAGATAAGAAAAAAAAATATTTTATTGAGTCTTTTTACATACTTCTAGATTTTTCTGTCAACAGGGACTATCTGAGATTGTAAGTGGGTATGGGAGTACATTTACAACAGCAGAACTGAATCCAGTAAGTTGCATTGGACTAGACAAACTTTTCACAAAGATGTTCCATCCTAATTTGAAAGCATCAGAGAAGAATGGAGAAGCACTGAGAATGGAGAAACCACAATTACCTTTGCTACCTACTTCCAGTGGTTAAGTAGCCTCATTAGAAATTGTTTGGAATTTACTTCTAATTTTAATTTCTCATCTGGTTTTAATTGTCAGAACTTTTTTTTTCTTGCTGGCTTCAGGAGCCACTTAGTTCCCAATATTCTCTCTTTTTAAAGCCATGTATTGACTACAGTAAGTTATATCCTGGCATTCTATATTCTTTATGCTTACATGCATATACATAGGCTTATCTTCATATGAAAAAATACCAAAGAGAACTTTCCAGGCAGCATCTACTATAAAAACTTAATAAACTATAGTGGACTTTAAAAAGAATAAATAATAAGTGAGATCCATATAAAAATTAAACAAGATCCAGAAAAGGCCAAGAGTGAGCAAAACCTAGATAGATATACTTTTCTAACACTAATAAGGTTAGCCTGTTACCTAAGCACAGATTTAGGAAAATGGCTTTTCAAAAGCACACTGATGCTATAATGAGATGAATATTTTGAATTTGTTTGGGTGTTTCAGAAATTCTGCACCCATACAAGATTAAGGCATCCATTTTTGAGATAGCAACCTGAAGCAATGAAGAAATAGCATCACTAAATAACTAAATACAGAGTGTTCTGCTGTCTCATATCACTCAAGTAGGAAAGATAAAAAGAAATTGCTATAAAATTACTAGAAATCAGGACAATGAGAATCTGTGCATCATATGGAAAGCAAAATATATTGTACATGTTTCATGTAGAAAACAATTAGACTAATCAGAGATACCCTGGCTCTTAATATCTGGTTGCAGGAATATTCTCAGCAATTCAGAAATTACCTGAAATCCCAGGTAAACTTTATCCTTCCTAGAACTGCTTGAGACTCTTAATTATTTTTCTCTCTGCTTTCTGAGTATTTCACTGTACTTTCATTTTCCTATATACAGAAACTACAGTTTCTGTTTTGTTGAAAAAAATTATATTCAACCTACACACTAACAATACTAAAATAAAGCACATGGTAAAACACGTGAGTCATGGCAAAATACATGGGTAATTTTCATAAATTAATATAAACACCATGAAAATGTAATTTTTACTGTCAGAATACCTCAAATGCTAAAAGGTCATTTCATCACTCACATATAGTAAGTGATAAAATTGTAAATAAGTTAAAGAGCATTTCACAGATTAGAGAGTTACTCATCTAAATTAAGCTTTTCCTAATCACCCAGTTTATAAATCAGCAACGCATACCATTTTTATGTGCAATAAGCACCCACTCAGTAAAAAGGGTTTTTAATACTGCTTTTCTTAACAGATTTTGAGATGCTTGGCAATAATAGGAGAGTAAAAAACATATATTCTGCACAGCATACAAGCATTTTTAATGAAATAGCTTAGAAAACTAGTAACTGTGTAGCTATGGTTGCTTGGCTTTATTTACTCCATTCTTTTACTTCCTTGACAGCAATGTAGTCATGTACCTTGTACAAGTCTTCTGTTCTCTTCTATTTCTTTCATGCTTTTTGCTTTTTCTTCCCCTCTGAACTAGAAAACTGAGGGTAAAATGAGGCACCAATCTAAATTTAAGTTTCAAACGTAATTTCTGGTGATACTTGTTGACAAGATGAGTCTTGTTGTTGGCTGCTTGTTACATCTGTAGTCCCTAAATATGTCATAATTTAACAGCTTACATAGATACATAATATCTGTTAATATCCCTTCATTAATCCAATAGTTTAGTTGAGGCCAGCACATACACTGTTTGTCATTGTCTGATGACATCTCTGGGCAACACCTAGTGTCAATGTGGTATTTAGGGTGTGAGTCTGATATTTAGCTGATGAATTCCATCCAAGAATGTCCTAGTCTTCAGTAACAGAATTAATTAAATAGTCTAGATGTACTTTTTTCTACACCACTTAAAAACAGTAAAATCAGTAGTACAATTAACAGACAATGAAGTTGTAATCTAAGTCTCCATTTTAAGAGTGAAGTTGGTATAAACGTGAATAAGGAAAAAACAATATATCTGTGCAGATAAGTTTTGGAGATTTCTGAAAAATAGCCTATATTCTCAAAATGTTGGCAAATTTATAATCTGAAAACAAAAAGAATTATAAATCTAATCAAGGAACACTTTACATCAAAAATTTTCATTTAAATCCCTTTTTATATACATTTTTCAACACTGCAAACTAAAAAAGTCACTTCGAACTGAAAAACGAAATTTCACAGAGAAAATTTTGAAACAGGATATTTCAAGAATTTAAAAACGTTTTCCACAGTATATTTTTAATAAGAATTGCAACATCAGTCCTTATTTCACAAACAGTACCACTCTTATTGATTGGTATTAGATAAAACATGTCAATGAAAAAATCCCAATCAACCAAATGTCGATATACATTCTCTTCAGGACAGATAAAAAACAATATCAAAACTCAACAGTTGTTTGCTTAAAAGATCATCAGAATTGCCTTTCTTGCTGTTCTTTGGTTTTTATAAACGTTATTGCTCCTGTTAGCACTGATAATATCGGAAATAAATGTACTTCACCTACGTGGTGGAAGACAAAATTTAAATCTTTGGAATGTATTTTTCTTCAGTGGGAATAGTGGAGCTAAAACTTAGTTTATTTTTGTTGGTGTGCTATTGACTGTTTCCATAAGAATTATGCTTACACATCTCAGGTATATTTGTAGCAGCTAGAAACTCCAAAACATACAGAACAATCTTGCTTCCCTTATTTTTATCTATTCAGGACTGATAGAGTCATTTAAGAAACCTGCAGTACATGAACTCTTCCAGCTACAGTCATGAATGGAAGGTAATTTCCACAACTGTTGTCTTCTTTAACAAGTGTTCATTTCTAGTGATGAATAATTTGTTTCATGGGTATACTTTCCATCTATTAAGTCAAAGGGCTACTAATGCCTTCCCATTTATTTTTATTTTTGGTATTTTTTTCTATATCTAATAGCTCTTCCTTATAAACTTCAGTTATCATTCTCATGAAGAAGGCAGTTTCTCTCTCCGGTCAGCAAGCAGAAGAACATTTTCTCCAGTTTGTTGTCCTGTTTTTACATTAAATTAACTCATCCTTCAGGACTTTTCCTTCTAAGAATCTTCAAGTAACAATGGATATTTGGTAGATTTTTTTCAGGCTCTGCTACTCTACAAGCAATGATTACAATGCCACAGGATAACAGCTCATATTTCTTCCTCAAGTTTTACTTATTAAATTTATATATCCATGTAGATAGTTATTTATAATTCTTCATAAAATTATAGCAGGGCATGACCGGGCATTTTAGAGTGACTTATTCATTGTTTAAAAGAAAGCTTTCAATACAATTGAAAGATGAAGATTTAATGACATATATATAACTTCATGGAAACAAATTGTTATATTTTAGTTCAACGAATAATGATGAGTAAAAACATTATTTTATGGAACTGGTAGTTTCAACATACACTGAAATAAAAACATACTATCTCTTTTTTTTTTTTTTTTTTTTTTTTGAGTTCAGAATATAGGACAGGTTAAAACAAACAAAAAAAAAACAGTGAATCAGTTACGCCATCGATCATACCAATAAAGAATTTGAAGCTATTCCATTCCATGTGCAAAATATTGCTTTCATTTCAATGTGTGGCATAAGTTGAGGTCTCTATAAAAATATTTATAGTAAAATACAGAGTAAATCTATAATTACATTTAATCAGTTTTAGAAAGATGCATCCAGTACTCAGACACTGTAATATTACTTACAGTTAGTCTATTTTACCTCAGTTACTGCTGAAAAAATATGGTGTAACAGTGCTTTGTGAGCCAAACAGCATATTTGCTCTAATCTACACAAAGCCCTGTAAATAACCTACAAGTTGTTAGTCATTATCTAACCTTGTATCCAAATTTTTCATTTAAACTCTTTCATTTTACTGCATTACACACAGAGTTCTTTAAATAACCATAAACAACCAGATTCCTTACAATGTAAGGAAGAACTACAGAAAATCATTCTGAATTCCCATGTAAAAAATTTTCTTAGAATTCCTTCTACTCTATGTACAAACCCCTTTGAAGGAACTGAAAAACCTTTAGTAGATTGTCTTGGAACAGATCAGCAAAGCAGAATTCAGTAACAAACATAAGGTGCTCTCTGGGCCATGGGCATAATAAAGCATCATGAAAGGTATTACGACACACTTTTATTTTCATCTTTCTTCTTTCAGTTGGCATTCACATTGGCTTCTTTTTGACGTAGTCTCTCTTTCTGTTGTTAAAAATAAAAAGAACTTTATTATCATTATTTCCTCTAATTTTCTCAAGTTGCCTTAAATATTTCGTCTAGAATACTGAGAAGTACTAACTGAGTCAGCAGACTGGAGTTCTGCTTAATTAAAAAGAAACAATCAAACAAAAAACTCCTGGAGCACTCAAGGAAGGCTCACAGTGAGTTCACTAGTTACTTTAGGGAAGCTGAGCTTGCTTTAGCTACACACTTGTCAAATACTGTGCCTTTAAAAATAACCAGATGAATGAGCAGCTCTGTGAAGATCAGTGCAGTGAGAGTAAAGAATACATTTCTGAGTTTAATCTAATACCTTCTTTTGTCCAGAATTGTTTCTGCTGACATAAATACTCTGATTTAGCATTAGGTAGATTATGCTGTTTAACGACCTCTTCCCAAGCAAGTTTAGTCATTCATATCTCTGTCACCTATCCTGCAACTGATATGCTCTGTTGGGAATGGAAATAACTGATTTCCTTCATGTACATTTTTCTCCCTTATTCTCTTGCATCCCACAGTTTGAGAAATTCTTTGCCTTGCTCAAAGATAATAACCATCTTTATCTACAGTGTAAATTATTACTCTGTGTCCTACGAAAAAAACCTGGGAAACACTAATGACAAAATGAGGATCTGAACCCCTCTACCACTATTCAACAGAGTAAAAAACATTTTGAAAGGTTTTAAAGAAAGAAGACACTCTCTCATTTTTAAAATGTGTACAGTAAGCCACAGTGCACTAAATAGCATGAAAGAAAATGCAAGAGACTTAGCAGCAAGGGGGAGGAAACCAGAAAAGGTCTAATTATGTTTTGTTCTCTAGAATAGTAGAGCCATACTTAGGCACAACTAAACTAAGTTTTAACCTTCACTATTAGACTACTGTAGGGCATAAACTTTGCAATTTTTCTATGGGAAGAATAATAACCTGCTACATTCAAACTGACTAAGAACTCTGCATCACACTTCAACAAGAACAAAAACCCACCATCATCCTGAATGACAAGAACAGTGTCACAAAAACATTCTAAATGTTATGCTGAGAAAGAACTCATACCAGGCTAGCTGTAGGATTGATTTTCTTTGTTTCAACTTTCTTCTCTGCAGTTAACTTGCTTACTGATTGCTGAGCCACTTTAATTCTGAAACAAAATATACACAAAAGGCATTGTTAGATTCACAGAAATTCAAACTGCTCTAGAGTTGCTTAATATATATTTTACCTGTAGGAAGTACCACCAACAACATTTTTAGACACATTGACCAAACAAAATACTAATTAATATTCAAAGGCATTTCATAAAGTACCAAAATAGATCAGAATGCATTTTAACTGAAGAGGAATGCAAAAGCAAAAGCACGGTTTGTCTGCGTTGTGCACTGAAAATCTCAGCAGGCAAACTCTCTCTCCCTTCTTGTAAAATCAGGATTGTATGGAACCAAAACAGCTGCAGTAGGAAGGCAAAAAGATACTTATCAAAACATCCACAAGCTAGCTGGCTAGATCTTTTATATATGTAGAATACAATATTTTAGCAAGACATTTGCTGGGTTATCCTCTTAATCTCCTCTGAAGATCTTCAAATGAAAGCATCTGCCAGTTTTTATCTTAATGTTTTCCTTGTTGCTTTACATGGAATTGCCAGGCCAATCTCACTGATGTGGTGATTGAGAAACACAAATCAGAAGAGGTTCTTGTGTACAGATAGTTAAGGCAGCCTTGTGCACAACTACACACCAGTCTACTAAAAACACTACTGAGATAAGGGGAGAGAACACAGATCTGATTCCATTGTTTCTATTCTTGCCTTTTGATCTTACTGTACTGCAGATCCTAAATCCTGTGCTTCTGTGAGGATTCACTGAGAAGAAGACAATCAGAAGTTTTATCAAGAAGTAAAGGAGAAAGGGACTTGACTCTCCTCTTTCAGACAGAGGAAAAGGCAGGGGAAATTATGTGCTAAATAGCGATAAAAAGGAAAGAAAATTCTTGGCATGCTGAAGACAGGATCTGGCCAGCTATCAGCCTTTAAAATGCTGATGCTACAGACACCTACTTTACAATTCAATATGCAATATGCAGAGGGAAAAAAATTGCAAGTGAGTTTTTACAAGCAAAAACTCAGCAGCCCAGTTTTCACTACTGCACACAAGGTCAGCCTTTTACTATAAACAACACATTTCATGGCACTCTGGAACTGAAAAATTGTATTTTCTTCTCTTATTTAATTTTTTCCACTAGTAGAAATAATTGTTATGGCCAGTCAAAAAGCATTAAAAATACCACGTCCAGTTCAAACCACTTTCGACACGCTCAATTTTTGAGGAATTTTGGAAGAAAAGCAGAAAGGAAAGTGGATTATAGCTGCAATTACTGATGTGTATTTCCTTGCTGTAACATCAGCATACCCAATTCTGGACATCTTTTTAAAAATACAGAACACATTCATAAATTCCTCATTGTGTTTATCAACATTCAGTGTTGGAAAATAACATTCCTTGTTGTAATTCCTAGCTGCATGTACAACCTCAACAACAACAAGATGAAATTACTATTCTATACATTTTAAAACGTATCTGTAGTCTTTCTAAAACTTAATTAATTTTCTCTTTGTCAAGCCAGCAACTAAGCTGTAACATACCACTCCATTCTTTTACAGTTTTTGTTAATCAGTACATTTTGTTTCTTTTTCATAGATGACAGCAGCCACTGAACAGCATGCTATTCCTCACAGCTACAGAGGTTTATTCAAAGATGATAATGCATTTCAGGTGTATGTAAACAGGTTCAGCACAATCAAATGGAGGTATGAATTTCTAAACTTTTACCTGTTTCAATCATGTTTTCTTTCCTATCACATTCTCTTTGGTCCTAGGACAGTTTTCTGAACTGCTCTTAAATGTTTTGAGTCCACATTTTCAGCTGAAAGGTGAATTCTAGGGATTATACACGCTTGGTCTTGAAAAGAAAATTATGCTTGTTGCTGATTTAGGTGTAGCTATGTGTGTTTTATTCTATGTTTGCACTATATTCAAGAAATCTGGAATTTTTTTACATAGAATGAATAGTTTGGAATAGGGAATAAAAATAAACCAGCTCACTAAAATTATCTGAATCATTTGATATTTGGTTCAGGGATATATTATGTATAACACTTTGCTCTCTTATGGAGAAATCACTTTGTAAATGTATGACTGATAAGATTAGGAGGCATTCACAGAAAGTTAAGTACATAATTTAAAATTAATATAATTTCCTGGGATTTTTTAAAGTCAGTTATTAACAAAGTGGTTAGCTCAGTAATTACATCACTGAAGCATCCACACTGTAAACTTGCCTAATAAATAATTCTTTTATCTGTTAAACACGGTTAGGGTGCTAGAACTAGCTACTGTATATGGAAGCAGTATTGTTGAAACGAGAAAAACAAAATAGTATGAAAACCATCCAAATTTAAAATCATAAATTTGCCTGGCGGCAGTAGATTAATTTGTGTACTCCTTTCCATTATTTCAGGATCACTGGCCTGCAGTTCCCTAGGTCATCATTTCTCCCTTCCTTGAAAATGAGAGTGATGTTTCCCTTTTTCTTCACTAGGGACTTCACCTAACTAAAAAGCCATGACTTTTAAAAGCTTGGAGACTGCACAATTCAAGGGGCAGAGCAGTCTAAGAACGACTAATTATAAACTTGGAAAAATATTTTTTGCAGAGGAAACAGCAATGGCTTGTCTTTACAGAAAACAGCTAAAGACTTACTTCTGACAGGGTCACCTTGGGGAAGGCCTGCTTTTCTTTTTCCTGCATGTTTTATAATCTCAGCAGAGGCGGCAATAGATATTCCTCACACGTTGTGTTTTGGGCAGCATTAATCAGTGAATGTCACAACTCAGGTCTACTTACCATTCAAGACATTAAACACTAATAGTTCTGGTGTGTCAGTGTGTTTCAGAGGAGAAAAAAACGAAGATTTAAGGAATGTAAGTCAATTAAGCTTTGAAATCTGATCAACCACAACATGGTTATGTTCAAAAGAAACATTATTCTCATTCAGTGGTGAGCAAAAGAGGTCAATATATCCTAATGAATAAAGAAGATGTGATGTCAACTGCAATGCTGAACAGTATAACACAATATCACACAATATGGAAAAGAAAACCAAATGAAGTGAACAAAGAAATGTATTTTTAATTGGGAGACTCATGACTCCAATATTATATTCGAATCTTTACTATAATCAGAGGGAATATAATTTGCTTTTTTCCTGCCTCGATGTGACAGGGGTTGGCCTTCCCTGTAAACTAGATCCAAGTCATGCCTCTTAAATTGGACCAAATTAGTGAAAAATAAATGCATCATTTTTATTTTTAATTTATAACTCCAACACAAAAATTCAACTAAAATATATGTTTGTATTTAATAAAGTTTTCATTGTAAGCCAGGGACTCAGCAGATAAACTCTTGTCACGTTCATTCTTGCTTCCCACCCAGACAAACAGAAGGTGTGAGCTGGTTCAATCTGCACTTGAAAGCCACAGTAGTTAGGATACAAAAACTCCTGACTGAGCAAGCCAATTGCTACTCATGAATGTTCAGGTCTTACTGGTGTATGAAGACAGAAAATTATTTGGTAAAGTCCTTGGTTAGCATCACAATAACCTTATAGCAGACCTTGAAGTTTGAATATTCTCCACTTCTATCACTGTATTGTACAATAGAATTGGCTAGTCAAGCCTTTTGTCAAGCCTTCTAAAAAGAACTTGAACATTATTGATCCAATCTTTAAATTGTATATAAATATTCTTTTACATACATTTTTCTATGCTTGTACTGATGTAGTTATCAGTGGAATTTCTCTCCAAATCTCAAAATGCTAATACACTCAGTTTGCCTTTACTTTTTTTCTGGATTTACTGAGTGTCTGTTTGAAGGTGATGAATTTTACTGCTGTAGTCACAAGAAAAAAAATGACTTTATGCTTTTATCAAAGCTGGTGCTTAAGAAAATAACAGTAAGTCCCAAAAAATCTACAACAACCCAGACTAAAAATATGCTTCAGTCCATCTGAGCTGGGTACCACCAGATACTAAGGAACGTCTAAGGACAGCCAAAGCATTCAGTAGCAATCCCCACAATTCTTTCCCAGCAGGAAACTCTCTATGAACAGTTCTTCATATTCTAATATGGATTTGTACCATAATCATTCAGAAGCAATGCAAACTTTTGGCACCTGGTACATCTGGTGGGAAGGTGTTCAACCAATTAAGTATGGCTACGGTAAGCAATCACTGTATTTGGTTTGCATCAGCCACTTGCAAATTTCATTTGATATTGTATTAGATGAGGTAAGTAATAACTATTTCCCATTCAGCCTTCATGCTTTTAAGTTCTCTAATTTATCTTTTTCATTAGGTTCTGAGCAGCATAGTATATATATCACATACTACATATGATACAGTGAGAGAAATTCACATTTAAAGTCAAGCTATAAAATAAATCTGGTCTTTGAAAACTGTTATAATGTCTTGAACTAAAGATTATTTTTCCTCATTGCTCACTGTAATACTGAAAACAAAAATATAATCCACTGCTTCCTCTATGGCAAGTGCTCCTGCCAAATTTCAGTTGTTAGGAGCAAGTGAGCCTCACAGATTAGCTTAATTGATGGTTAGACCAATAATGTGCACCAAGAATGAAAGAGGTAGAAAGCTATAGCCAACTCCAACTTACTATAGTAAACAAAAATTTACTGGGCACCTTCACTGCCTTTTTATTGTTCAGATTGTGCACCCCCAAAAATAATCACTATTGCTCTTTTCACAAGATAAAGGTGATACCATCAATGTGTTTTGTGCTAGTGATAACATTTAAGAACAAAAAAGGGACCTTCTAAAAGCAGGAAGCACCCTATTTTTAAGATGAGACATGTATTTCTGTTTATCAAATGACTGTGTCTTCTCTAGACATTGAGACAAACTTTGGTCCTTTTTTGTTTTCTGATTTCTGTTCCTTAGTTGTGCAATTTGTATGTGTATCCTATCTAAAAGAAATGACTTAATCTAGTGTGGTAACTGTTGCTACAATTTTATGCTTACAGTGGAAGCACTGAGAAAAATTAACAGCAATAATTCCATTCCTATTTGCTTGCTTCATATGTAAAGCGTAAGCACATGATAATCCTTATCACACTTATTTTGCAAAACATACAATTACATTCCGTGATTTTCTATTCATGACTGCAAACTACTTGTTTGTTTTTTTTTTTAATATATATGTTTATATTTTTTCCCCATACTCAGGCTTGGCTAGGATATTATGTTAAAATACACTTCAATAGATCTTGAATGCTTTAATAGACTTATGGGTAGACATTCACATATTAATACACATTTATTTTGATTCTGAATGCATAGACATTCTAACTGAAAATAAAATTAATAGACTAAAAAAAGGAAATGAGACTTGTAGATATGCAATTTACCACAGTATAAGATGGCAGAACTTTGTTTTGGACTTCAGTTTGGATAGCATCTCAAAATCTCATAAGAAGAAGAAAGCAAAAAAAGCAGTTGATGTATCTGGATGCACACAATTTAAAAGTTTCTTCATTTTATCTCTATAGTCATTTATTTGTTGTATCTATCTAGGTTTGTTATCTATCTGTAATTCTGTCTTGTCTTTTTTTTTTTTTTTTTTTTAAATGGTGTTCAAATTTTGTCCAGGAAAGAGACAACAATTCAACAATATTTTGCAGGCAGCTGATTTACTTTCATGGTGAGTTAAGTGCCAGGCAGCTCTGTTAAAGTGTTTCCTTTACTTCATGAAAAAGCATTAATCTAATTAGATTTCTACAGTTGTGTTACATTTAGGAGCCAAGTAGATGTTAGACATAACAGGCTCCTGCAGCTGAGGCTGTCATTTTGTTACAGGGGGTATCCTTTCTCCCAGAAACTCAGAGATTTTATAGTTTCTCTTATGCAACACAAACTAGCTCATTTTGAGTATAAAAATTTAATTTTCCACTTTAAATCTTTTGACCCAGTTCACTACTATTAATTTTAAACTTATATTTTTAAAAATGTATATTTGGCATGGCATATTACTGATAATTCGGCATATTATAATTAAATTTAGAATTTTCTGAGCCATACTTAATGAATGAGAAATTATAATCCAATATTGACATTCCCCCATAAATGTAAACAATTAAATCCATATTTAGGTATCTACATGACTAGATTAATTCAGATACATTTTATACTTCTTCAGCTCCTCCTGAAATTTGAAGGGTAAGGTAACAGTAAAAGTGTTTACATAAGAATATCAATGCCTTAGTTTCAGAACTCAACAATGAAAATACTGAGTTATGATACCAATTTTTCCTCTTTAAATTTTTTTTAGAACAAAAGAATTCATTGTTGATGAACGTAATCTTCTTTTTTTTCTTTTTAATTACCATCTCTAGAAATGCAAAACAAATAGTGCATCAAATTAATTAGTCAGTTATGGAAGACAGCTGTCCATTCCTGTCATACTGAGGTTTTTAGTTACCAATGTGCAGAATGAGCTTTCCTTCAAAATTTCTTGGGCATCAGTTCACCAACTATTAGTCTCACACTTTGTAAAAGAAAACCTTAAAAGGTCGTGAATTCACAGGACATTTTCAGATGAGTAAAATAGTTTTCCCATCATTTAAATTTACTGATTTCATGAGGTTCTTCTTTTCAGTAGCACATTACAAAACAATTTAGGATGATGAAAACAGCTTTTCTGTCATCCTAATTTACTTATTGCACAAAGATCCTCATTTCAGCACCTCATAGTCTTGATGAATCACCTAGATTTTTAATGTAAACAACAATGGATTGTTTTTCTGAGATTAATGAAACTTTTTTTTTTAAAAAAAGAACTCTGAAAAAAGTCTATATAATCCAGAAATTAGCACTTTGAAGAAATATTCCTTGACATTGTTTTACATTCATGAATAGGAATAGAAATATGTATTAAAGGAACTGATGAAATATTTGCAATGTATTTTTACTATTATATTTTATTTACATTATCATTAAACAATGAGTAATTCTCATCTCATTCCAGCAGGAAAACACAGAATACAGCAGTTTACTCACGAAGATCTCTTGAACATTGTTTTAAGAAACTTTGAGGGTTTTTTTTTTTAAAGATTTCTAATGTATTAATCAAACATTTAATTAATCAACATCTTAAATCAATTACCCTGAAGGGATCACTGTATCCCATCAGCAAAGCACTATCTACATACAAAGGAATAGATTTATGCTCTGGATAATTTTTTTCTCTGAACTGAAGTATATCCATGATACGATCCCTAGATGATTAGAGCAATCTTCTTAGTGGCTAATAATTTTACGTGTGTTTTTTTTTTTTTTTTTAACTATTTAAATATTGACTTGGAGAAAAAGAAATAAAAGATTCTGACAACGTTCACAGTTGTCAACTTCTAAAATCAACTTAACTATTATACAGATTATACAAACACCTACAACTTTCAAGAGTTTAAAACCTGTAAAACAATGTACAGAAGGTTGACAATCAGGAATTTATATTTTCTTCATTTTGTCCTTTAAAAATCTATGTTTACAGGATTCAAAAATCCCCACTGATTTAAAGCAAAAAAGGCAAATGTAAGTGCTAAGATCTTTTAGGAAATCTTTTCTTTACATCTGTGTCACTTCAGAATACACACCAGGGTTTGTATTCCATGCTTAAAGTGATTAGTCCATTCTTTTGCAAAGCATGATCACAATACCACCTTTTAGGTCTTTTCAAATGAATTGAGATACGATTAACATGGCATTTATTCACTCACAGTATAGATATCTTATCTTTGCAAAAGATTTTTAGCTTCTTTAAGAAAAGTGTGCAAATAATTGAAGGATTTATATTTTATTTTTTTACTCTAACTAATAAAATAAGTTGACTGCGGTGAGATCTAGCGGTAAGTAGTTTGAAGTCCTCAGCAGGACACCAAGAGTCAGAAGTGGTGCTGTAAATTCAGTGTTGGGCTTCAACACAGTGCTAAGTGTGGCCTGAATCTCTGGGGCTTCCCTTTGATGCAAGTGCAGTATATTAACTGGAAAAGCATTCACTTTTATTTGTCTGTACTGTCTGCGACAGCAATATCGCCTCATTTAGGCTAGTTCAACATGAAAATGCACAGAGAAGCAATCTGTTACAAATTAGCACAGCTCCCCTTTCATTTTACTAGCTAGTAATTGGAAGGGGTTACAAAAGTGTAATTTATCAGATTATATGTGTTTATCTTTTTGTGGGGACAGCATGCCTTTGGTGAATTTTCCTACGCACCCTGAGGGAATAATCTTTCCTTGATGTCCATTAGATCTGAAAGAAAACAATGACGCCTGTGAAATATAGGAGTATAATTTGTTAGGTTTGAGAAGGAACAGTTTCCCAGACATCTAAAATGGTATTAATGACTTTATTAGAACCTTACCGCTCCTTGGAAATGCTTTTGCTCTCTCGTTTCCAAATGGTCTTGAAGTCACTGCAGAATTCGTACCACACCGTGAAAACATAGTTTGGTGTGATCTCCTTCTCACCAGGCTTTGGCTTTATCCCAAAGTATCCCACTGTTTCTTCAAAGCTGGGAGGGGAGGGGGAAAAGAAACTGTCAAGAGGAAGTCTACACGGGAAACAGTTTGTCTGAGGGCTGATTCCTGATTTGGTAGTCAAGGCTGGTAGTTACCATAACTTCCTTTTAGCCTTGGAAATCATAGCAGCAATTCCTGCCGGGTGTAACTATCCTTCCAACACCTACCTCACTCTCAGGAGGTCAGCTTATAGATGCATGAACCACCATAGAGATATGTCACACAGTCAAATCATGGGCATTCAGTTTTAAAGAAGAAAACCTGAATTTCCTGTATTACAGGAAATGCTATATTCTACCTAAGTCTTTAATTTTATTCACAGTGTGCCACTGAGACCTTACTTTGCCACTTATCTTTATAGAAAGATTACAGAAGAGTCATGTGCCAAATGAGGAAAAAACCTCCAGCTCTGGTTGAAAATAACTTTCAAATAGTTAGAGATTTTAAAGAAAATATATTGTCTCCTTCCCAGTATGTCAATAAGCAGATAACAGCAACGAATTTTATGAAAAAAAATCATTATCAATATGGTAATGCACTTTTATTTTATAATGCAGCCACGGAATTGTTATGCAGCTGAATATTTTCATTTTCATATTTTTATTACAGAAGATACTCCTGACAATATTTTAATTGATTATGCTTATTTAACCTTTATGACGTTGCTTTGTGCAGATAAAATGGAACGATTGACATTACTAGTAACACTACATGGAGCCTGACCTAAATGAACCGAAGTAGTACGTTCACTTTTGTAAAGGTTGAATCATTTCTCTCTGCAAAGCAGAGGTCACAATCCAGTAAGATTTGGTGATAGTTACTAAAAGTAATATTTATTCTTCACAGTCTAAAGAAAGATCAGTGGTAATTTGTACTTTACATTACTTTTCTGAGCCCAGCGTGACTCTACCTTACTTGGACATCCAGATTAGTCTTCCTGCACAGTCAGAAAAAGAGAGAGAAAACTCCCAAATATCTCCCAAGACAATCCCTGTCTCAGGTGAACTGTTTCTATTTGCTGCAGAAGGTGGCAGAAAATTGGCTAAACTGTTGACTAACAGCTGGCTGACCTGTTTAATTTCTACCTCCTGATAAACTTTCCTTCTGTGGCACAGTTGCTTTCATGTCCCATCTGCTCTGCAGCCTTTCTGGAGCAGAGTTGGCTCTCCAGGGTACAAAGGTACTTCTAATTTGCAGTTGACATAAGGAATTAGTTGTTTGATACTGAATTTAGTTTCTCAATTGCTAACTAAACATTCAGCATTTTAAGTTACTGCTGAAAAGATCTGTTACTCCTGAAAGTCAGGAAGCAGCCCAGGAAGCTAGAGTATGCTGAATGAAAACAAACAGTGCTACCTGGGGAAGATCAGAAGATGAAACATGAAAAGGGGCAAAGCACTAAGTGTCAGGATGAAGGCAGAGGAGGGGGGGACAGAGGAATTCAAGATTCAGGACAGCTCTATCAGCTGCATCAGTTGGAATGAATTCAGCTAGGAATTTAACAGGGCTGCTGTTACATGAAGCAGAGCTGCAAAGAGCTTCTGGTTCTACTGCTCCCTGCTCAGCTATCCTGGTCAATTTGTACAGCCAAACAGCTGAGAAACATTTGGTCAATTGATTGTAATGCAAATGAAGTAAAAAATCAACACGTTGTGTATCTATTATTCTATATATCTGATACTCTTTTCATAGATGCTCTTCAAGAAATGCATGAAAATTGTTTTGCGAGCTTTTCTTTAAATTGTCTTATCATTTTACATTCTTATGAAGAGCCAAACAATCTTGAGTAAGCATGAGGTTAAAGGTAGACACTTCAATCTAATGAAAATATAACCTGCTACACAATATTTAATAGAAATAACAATTTCTTATCTATTACCATGTATCAACTTATCTTACTTCTCCCTATATGTTGCCTCTTCTGGCCTAAGCAAGGTATAGATGTTCAGATCAGAAAGCCATTTGGATTTCACAGGTTTCTTAGTGTATTACACTCAGTAGCTTAAGGTAATGAAAAAGTTTCATGACATTTCACTACATTAAGTAGTTAATCAGTTACTACAATATTCTTTAAAACAAGGATTCAATTCAATGTCGACAGTAATTAAAACCTCAAACACAGGAGATTGGCTAAAAATCTAACTGAACTTTTTCCTGGAAGACTACATAAGAAATTTTCAGAAAGCATTACTTCTTTGAAGTACAGATGATTTTTCCTATTTAATATAATTCCTAGATCAATAACGTCTTTAACCAAAAGCAAACAGTTAGGAAAAAAACATGCAAAAAAAACCTTACCATTTTTGTGCATTTTCCAAACTGCTCTCTTCTTTTTTACGTTCTTCTTTAGCTGTCAGTGAAAAACATTTCAATATAAATTACTGCCTTAATGTTTTAGAGATTCCATAGATTCAGCATTCCTTCCATTCAAAATTGGATAGGTTGTATGCTACATATAATAGAAGTGACAAACATTTACTAATTTTCATTTTTTGTTAATTTTTTATATCTAAATCTATACTCTTAATATAATAAGTGTACTGCATTTGAAAAGTAATTTAAAATCTGATAGCATAATACATAGAAGTACATATTAATCAAAATAAAAAGAAATAATTACACTTGACATTCAGATTTTAAAAAAGAGAGCACTAAGTTGTGCATATTCCTTTGTTTCAGAACTTACAATTTTAAACCAATTTCTGCAGTGCAAATAATTGGAAGTTGCTGAACAGGTAACAAACACAGTTAACACCAACTGTTCCATATAGCTATCACATTTTGTTCAGGAAACTGGAAAGTGAAAACACATGTACTAAGTTTTAAATGTACAAGATTTTTTGAAAAAGCAGCCAAGAGTCTGAAATATGGTCACTGAATCTGAACCTCTCTGTTACAGAGTACTCATACGAACTACTTACAGGGATTTGATTTTTCAAAGGATGGGCATTCTCTGCTTTTCAATCTTTTCCTCAAGCAAAAGCCCTAGTTCTGTTTGAAACATGCTGATAAATTCTTCTTAATTCCATATACAGTATAGCCAACTTAGCTGCAGCAGAATACTATGTATCTAAAAATACATTACTGAAGGGGAAGATTTATTTCTATTCCACAACAGAATAAATTCTGTAAGTGCAAATGTTAATAAAAACAGAAGTCAGACACTGTAATGATACAAAGATAAAGAACTGCTCTCTCTTTAGGAGTGCACATATTGATGAAATGTAGTTACAGTTATAAACTTAATTTCAGACAAGGCCATCAAGAAATGCATACAGAATGATCCCATGGTACTTACATAGAGATTTGTATTAAACTAAAATCACTTAAAAACTGGTTGACTTGAGAACACTGCTGAACATTGACAAAACTAAGTAATTTCTACTCGTGTTGGGCAAATATGTTGGAGATACTAATTCAGATTATATAATTATGGCAAAAGCAAAAAACAATGTTCTTTGTCCTGTACAAAGAAAACAAGGAATTCAATATATATATACTTAATAGGACAAGGGGAAACAGTTTCAAACTAAAAGAGAGTAGATTTATGTTAGTTATAAAGAAATTTTCCCAACAGGAGTGGTGAGACACTGGCACAGGTTGCCCAGCGAGGTGGTGGAAGTCTTGCCCTTTGGAGATATTCAAGGTCAGGCTGGACAGGGCTCTGAGCAGCCTTATCTAGCTGTAGGTGTCCCTGATCATTGCAGGGCAGTTGGAGTAGATGACCTTTAAGGGTTCCTTCCAACTAAAACAATTCAAAAATTCTAGGCCATTACATTATCCACCTCAAATCTTGCTAGTAAGACAGCTACCACTGAAAGATAGAACAGCTCTGATTTCTGTTTGTTTCAGGCTAAAGTTCATCTAATATACTTAGTTTGCTATTTCCATGGCTCTCACATTTTTTATCATTAAAATTGGGAAAGATAAGCAGGAATTTTGATAGCTTATAATTATATAGAATTAACTACGTATAGGAAAACCAAAACAGTTAAATGCTAAACTGTGTATAAAATTGAATAGTGTATGATAATATTTATAGTTCAGTGTAAGAACTGAGCTACTTGTTTTTAATCTCTTAAGAACACATTAAGGAAAGATGGAAGTAAAAAACTTAGAGAAAGTGGAAAAAAAGATGAGACTTCTAGGAAAGAACATGCAAAGTTTACATTATTATGACAGTGTGTTTGTTTGTGTACAAATACGAGGGAAAAGAGGAAGCAAGGAAGTAGCTATTATATGTATGATAGTGTTTTTCATACCTTTAACTATAACCATGTCCACTCAAGCCAGGGTCAGTGAAGAATTTCCATATCTTTTTACAAGCAAGGATTTGAAAGGAAAACACTTATTTAAAAAATACGCAGTTCTAATCTGCTGTAGGGATATTTTTTTTTGTAATGCAGCTATAGGCTCTGGAGACCAACCACTGGTCTTACTCATCCTGCTATCTGTATCTCATGCTGAGGATGAAAAAGCAACGCTATCTTGAGAAATTACCAGAAAATATTATTCACCTAATAAATAGCAGCTTCCAGCTATAACAGGAGCAAGGTCTCTTCATGCTTCAAGGTACTAGGAAATAGTTCCCAAAAGAACAAAGGGAAGTCAATACTGGATAGTGTCAAAGACTGCATGCTGGAGAAAGCAGATAACCAACAGTCAAAAGAAGAAGGATGAGACAACTTGCTCTAAGAGTTGAGGACAAAGAAAGAAAAATGGGTGCACAGATAACAGTTACATTTGCCCTGCTAGTCCCTCCACCCTGCATGGAAAAATCTGGATTTGTCAAGTATACAAATCCATCTACGTAGAATAATTCACCTAAGTCTACTGATCTAGTTGTGCTTATTACAGTGTTTTTTTTTTTGTTTTTTTGTTTTTTTTTTTTCCCAGTATCTTATTATTTTCAGAACTGAAAGATGTCATGTATAGCATTTAATCACTTCTATAAACACTCCAGGCCAAAGAGAAATCTTCAAAATTATGAGAATGTTCAGAGAGTTAACAGTTGGGGTACAGAAATCAGAACTCTCTGATTTATATTTTAGGACTGAATTCATGTGGTTCACAAAGTTTATGCTTCATGGACATTTAGAGACTAGCTAATTATAGGGTTTTTTTGGGGAAGGGGGTGGGATGGAGGGGAGAACACCCTAAAACAAGGCTTTTCTTTCTTTTCTTTTTTTTTTTTTTTTCCTCAAGGAAGAAAGTAATTCTTTTATGACTCACGTTTTCCAACCAACTACAGTTACTTTAAGACAGAATCTGGGATAAGACATAGTCACAGAAAACAAACAAACAAAAAAAAACCCAAACCAAAAAAAGAAACAATCCCAAACATGCAAAACCAAACCAAACCGAATCCCAAGTAATATACCTCTGAACTTAAAGAGTCTGGACAGAAGCTGTTAAGAAAGTGAAAAAAGACAAGCCATTTTCTAGGAGCACAAGAACTTACCTTCATCATTAGTCAAGAATAAAATCTCCTAAGTATTAATGTTTTAAAAGCATCAAATTACTCTGATTTGTGAAGATGGAAACATGCTAGTTCTTTAAACAAGGGTAAAGGAAGGGTTGAGATGTATTCCTAGAAAAGTTCAGATACTTTTTTTTTTTTTCTGAAGTGCCAAACCTCACATTCCGTGGCATTACTGAGGTAAGGAGAACGAGCCACTATAGTCAGTATTGTCTTGACCTTTTTGAAGACATACCACCATTTGTAACAGATCAAAATCTCTTAGAAATTATGTACTGCAGCTATATCTGGATATCAGAATCACAGAATCATCAAGGTTGGAAAAAACCTCCAAGATCATCTAGCCCAACTGTCCACCTATCACCAACATATCCACATTAAACCATGCTCCTTAGTACAACATCTAAAGCTGAAGTCAGAAAGCTCTATAGTTAAAAGTACACTAAATATGTATATCTCCATGCTGAAGTAAAATTAACAAAAAATAAGCTTATCAACTGTATGTAATCAGACATTGTGCAGGGTGGGAAAAAAAAGTCAAAGGCGACCTTCCAGATGGGAAAACAGACTAGAGAGGATCATTATAAACAATATACATGTTTTGTCTTTATAAAAATTTCTGGATATGATTAAAATCCTAGACACTATAGTAACATAAAAAACAGGAGGATCAACAGCAGGGTGAATTTAACCTCCCTTGGTTTTGCTTTCAGTAGAACTATTACCAGTGAAAACTTCCAAATAGACTTCATTTTTAAGAAATCCCTTACTCAGGACATCCACTGTAAACTCAAGGGAAAAGGAGACCTTTTAAAAAACATTCTTTTATCCAACTATTCAGTATTCACAGGAGGGAATCAAGTAAAGACATTTTCCATGTTTATTCCTTGTTCATAGGAATATGAAAACAATGACTGGACTACAAGCAGAAAGAAAACTTCACAGGGGTTTACTCGATGGTATATGGCAGTTCTGGGAGCTTAAGAACAATCTAATGAAGGACTCCCCTCAGGACTGTTATTTTAGAGTCGGGATGGGTTGACCCTGGCCAGCAGCTAAGCACCACACAGCCACTCACTCACTATTCTCCAACAGCGGCATGAGGAAGCTAATAGGAAAGGGCAAAAGCAAGAAAAAAACCCACAAGCAATGCAAAAGCAAGCAGTCACAACTACACAAGCAGACTGAAGCTCACCCAGTTCTGATGCAGTGACTACCTACTACAAATTCCCTTCAATTCCATTCTGAGAGCTGAGCATGACATTATGTGCATGGAATATCTTGTTGGTCAGTTTGGGCCAGCAGTCCAGGTTCTGTCCACTTCTAACTTCCTGCCCACCCCTGGCCTACTTGCTGGGGGGGACAGAGTGGAGAAAAAAAAACAAAGCCTTGATAATGTGAAAGTACTGCACAGCAAGAACCAAAACACTGGTTTTAGCCACAAATTCCAAACACAGTGCCATATGGGTGTTTATGAAGAACATTAAGTTCCATCCCAGCCAGATCCAGTAAAAGGGCACATAACCATATAGAAAAATCACTACAGATGAATTCTAAAATTTAGCTGAATTGGATAGTTTTATTATTTTTGTGCATAAATGTCAGACTTATAATTTTTCTTTTAATATAGTTTTGGTGTCCAGTCACTAGATTTATCATGTCAAATAATGTGTAGTTCTCAATGCAGTATAAGATTTTATTGATTGGGAGATGGTAGCAGAACAACATGCATGAGGGTAACAACTCACGCAAACTGTTAGTAAATAACATTAACCTGCATATAGTTTTTTTATTATTAACGTTATTTTACTGGCTAGAAAAAGAAAGGGCCCTGCATAAATATGCAATAATTGCATGTAATTGCAAATGAA